ATGGTGTCGGTCGAAACGACGCTGCTGTGCTGATGTCCATTCGCATTCTCCCATTTCAATTCCTTGCAACCTGTCACGTGTTCCTGTTCACTGTCAACCTCTTTGTACCACTGCACAAAAGCGCACTTGTGTTCCACATTGCCGCCGTCTGTGGGTGCATCGGCGACGTAAAACATGGCCACTGATGCGAACCACGTACATTCGTTGGCTGCTCTTATTGCGACGTCGCTGTGCACTGGTCTCCCGTGGAACCGAGGCGACGCTCGTGCAGTTTGAACAATTGGAAGACAGGGGATAAGGTCAAGAAGGGGATAGAGAGCCTGCACGAACGGGTGCACGGGGTTGATAGCAAGATGGACAGAATGAAAAATGCGCTGTTAGTAATGCAGGCGCAAGTGTCCAGACCCGCCCTCCCGCCCCAAGAGGCCGTGGTTCCGGCAGTTGTAGCAAACCGGGGGTTTGGCAGGAGAGACCCGGCCAACGAACAATGCAAGTATTGCACCATGATCGGGCATTTCGTACGGGCCTGTCCGAGACTCAATCACGATATCGAGCGGCAGAGGTGCAGTAGGTCCCTCAAAGGCGAGATCCTCGAACCCAGGGGGGAGCGTGTTAATTGGAACTCGCCAGGAGGGATGCGGCGAGCCGTCATCCTCCTGAATGTTTGTTTCGTCCTGCGTGCAAGCGATGACGAGATATGTTCGCGTGTGTATAGCGAGATCATCGGTAGGAGGTTGACAACCATTCTCCGCCATGTACGCCGTAATCGCTGCTCGAAAATTGGTTCTGAAAGGGAGCTCTTCGAGTATCTGACACGCACGACTGTCAACGCCTTCCACCTCGCGTATCTGGTCTTGATCGATGTTGAACCAGCGCAGTTGAAGGATTGACGTGTCGCGTAGTGCCAGGGTGTTCAACCCCGTTGCCATACAGTCCGTCACAGAAGACCTATTCTCAACGGCCCTTTTCCTTCTTTTCCTTACAATTCCGGTCTCCTCTTGCAACGCCAGCGACCGGCGCACGTGGTTGACCATCTGCGTTGATGCTTTCCTTTTGTTCGATGACAAGTACGGTTGTTTGCAGAATCTCCTGTGGTGATGCTCCCAAACGTCTGCAGCGAATGTGTCGGTCACACCAGATCGCTCGATACTCGCTCTCATGTGCATAAGATCATGCAACTTTGGGAGTTTCCAATTCGATGGTTGGTATCTTCCCAATTTCGCTTTGATGGTCGTTACGAAGTCCGTCATCAACGCGTCACATTCGTCGAGGGAAGCTTGAGTGTGTGCTGTTCGCCGAAACAAACGTACGTACATTTGCATCAGCTTGACGAAATAGGCGGTAATGCCCTTGCCTGTCGAGCGCGGGATTATATTAAAAATGAGGAACATGCACACTGTCATCACAGACCGGTTCTGCTTCGCCTCGAAGTGTCCCTCTCTAGAAAAAAAATCGCTGCCTGTGGCCACGGGCAACACAAGTTGGGGATATGTTCGCGTACATCTCTCACTAACGCATTGCAATCTCGCATCGAGTTCCTTCAGGATCTCAGTTTGTGGTGTGTGCGGCAACTTCTCAAAGGCTGCCGCCCTGAATGCGTCGACCATGTGCAGCAATATGCCATGTTCGATCGTGTGCATACGGTCTGGTTGCAATGCGAGGTGGTAGTCTAGCTGAGGATCATCGCCGCTCGGCCCCCTGTAGAACCCCCAAAGGCCGTTCTGTTCAACATGCCTATGCATGTCCAACTCTGCCATTCGCCCTCCCRCTTYRCGGCGMACGTCATCGTCGTCCGCCGTGAACAGGGCTTCTGCGAGTTGGGTTTCCAGCGTCTGRGATCTCCTRCAGTCCGTGAAATCGGCCACAACATCGAGGTCCGTTTTCGAYACRGTGCATGTGGGGCATACACCAAACTTCACATTCGCCAGCGCACATCGTTCTGGATAGTCCTGTATATAGTTGAGGAGGAAAGGGTGGACAGTCACGTCCCCGAATYGCGTCGATGGTATCGTGATGCCGTCGTGCGACGCCTCCTTCGCAACTTGCAAGACCATCGAAAGGGCCTTGTGGAAGATGACGGCCTTTCGCTTCCTAAATGCGCTGGACTAAAGACCCCATCCTTTGTCACGGGGTCGATGATGAAGCACGGGGAGATAGGCCAGCAGAGTGGCTTCCAACGCGTGGTCGGCTAGCGACATCATAAGAGGGTATGCGGTCTGTTTCTGACGACCGTCTGTGTGTGTCTTGTCGGAGTAGAGTGAGAGAGGGATCACATATCGTGGATTTCCATTCCCGTCGACACCTTTGTGCGCTCGAATG